ATAAAAGGTTCAGTTCAAAATTCCCTGGTTACCTGGAATAACAAAGCCAAAACACTGTGATAACAGAGATGAGAAAATTAGTCTGAATATAAATCTCTTGTAATAATAAAAAAAACAAAAACAAACACAATGCTAATGTCAAGTCTTGAAAAATAGTAGAAGGAAAGTTATGAAGTCATGGTTCTGAAATAAAGAGCAGCTAGGAATGAAATCAGAATTTAACTTAGTGGTTGGAATTCACTTCTAATACTAGGCAATTGTAGGCCAAAGATTCTAAGTAAATTTTCATTCAAACCAAGATAAAGAGTTTGATTATACGGCAGAATAAATTCAAGCTTCAATGCTGATTAACCTTTAACATTCAATACATCCAAACCTGTCCTGTAAATATCAGTTCACTATTTGTATGACTTCTTGCATTATTTGCAATGATGCCATCATATAGCAGAGTATGCAGGAGACTGGTTAAGGTGGGTGGAACATTGAGAGCCAATATTTACCAGGGGTGGGGGGATGCTAAAGATTGAAAAGAAATTATGAAATACCTTACCTTTCTCAACAAATTGTCAACTTTCTATAAGAGATCCATAATGATGTACCGGACCCCCCACCACCACACAGCCAAAGTTAATGTGGTGGATAAAAGCAAAGTCAATCTTTAAATGTAAACAATCTTATTACATAAATCCTATTATAATCAGCTCAAACTATTATTATTGGTTTACTGATTTCCCTTCAAGCAGAAAATAATGTCAATTATATTTTTAAATTTGAAATGTTTAGAGTAAAGGGTTGATTTCTGTTTATCTAGCTGTGGCAGTTAGATATGAAACTCAAAGGTTAATAATAATAATTGGAAAATACCTGTATGTTGCAGATTCAAGATGACACAAGGTATTATTATTCTAACTCATAAAAATATTTACTTCCTTAAATTCTAAGCAAACACACATTATAAAAGATTTCCATGCACCCAATATAGCAATAGCTTTTTTGTTACTGTAATAATTTAATCATATATTTTTCTTTGAATATGTGAAAGAAAGCATTTTCAAAAATGTTTAAGTATATTGTAAAAACTGTAAATTTAAAAAGTCAGATTCTGAATTTTCATCAATAGTTTCAAAAATATGAAAATTTAAAATCCTTGTTAAAAAAAAAAAAAAAAAAAAAAAGCTATTGTTATAATTATTATTCTAAATGTTTTAAATTTGTGAAGAATTTATCTAATAAGTAAATTTTTTTTTTCATAAAAATTTTATTGCAAGAAAATTGAAAGAGGAGAGAGAGAGAGAAAAAAAAAAAAAAAAAGAAAAAAAGAACCAAACAAAAATCAGTGGACAATTCTTGTTCCTGTACATGAAAAAAAAATTAAAAAATTAAATCGAATTCAATATGTTGAACATTAAAAGGAAAAGTGTGATTGAAGACTTTTTCAATAAACAACTGATTACGACTTAATTATGTACTAACTTAGAATGTTAAGCCACCGTATTAATATATATATATATATATATATAAAAAATTGTGCTTCATTATAAAGTTAATTATATTCTAAAAACTGACCTCCTACAGACATTATGTAAAAATACAAATGCAGAAAAAGATGATAGTAATTATAGATTACCATCATTAAATTTTAATAAAAATACAAAAATTAACCATTGGTCTCCAATGAGCAGATTTTGATAACAGAGGCACTACTTATTTCTAAAGGAGTAAAAATTTCTGTACTATCACTGCAAAATCTTATAGGATCCCAAAATATCCTTCAGGTCATTGGTAACAGAATCAGTTAACTATGGCAACAGCCCTTCCTTCTGCAACATGCTTTAGCTGGCTTAAATGCCTGCTGCTATTTATCACAAAATACATACACAAGTCGACAGCCAGTCTAAACTGACATTCAGCCAACTTAACCAACCTGTCTGCTATCACTAGTTCAATCTCTTATTTTGCTCCTTTCTCTACTTGATTTATTCAAATCATTAACTGAACATCTTCAAATTTCTCCATGCAATCATTAAAATTAAGATATTACTGTATTTTAATGAGAGTCATTTTGATGCTTTCATCAGTCTGTTAAATGGAATGATCCAATTTGCATATTCCATTCCCTTGAATAAGCAATAAGGGACAATATCATTGCCCATTTATCAAGTGGCTGTCATTTAGAGATGCCTGTTTGACTGGCCTGTTCCAGAGCTGAAACTTTGCCAAAGCAAGAAAGCTAAATTGATCCAATTTTTACTCCCAAAAGACTAGCTAGCTTTTTATAGTTACAGGAAAATAAAATTTAAATAATCAAGAGATGATATATAAATAAGCAACAACAGAAGAAAAAGCTTTACAGACAGCTATCAATTTACTTGACGAACATAGAAACTCAACCAGCTAGTTTACCAAAGCTTTAAGATAATGTTTTATTTATGAGCAAGCAAAATATTTGGTAGAGACATCTCAAATAGCTAGTCAAAGCTGTAACTGCTGTGTTGTGCAGAGTAAATAAAGAGGAGCAAACAAGAGAATGTGTTTAAAGACCTATTTAGTTTTTTTACCTTTTGATTCATCATTGCCTTCATTTTCTACACTAGAAAAAAAAAAAAAAAAAAAAAAAAAAAAAACCACTTTCATTTCTAACTCCCATTTAAATTATTTCTTGAAGCAAAATATAAAGCAACTATTGTTTCTTTTGTGCCTACAAAAAAAATTTATATTACCACAAGAATGCTTATCTAAGAACAATCACAAAGAAAAAAAAATTTCCATCATCACAGAAGGAGGTTTACTGTTCCTTTCTTCTCCAGTATATGCAAGAAAGGACAAGAGTGAACCCTTTGTTGGACCTACAAGCATTACTATTACCAGATAAACTCTGGTTATATTTAGGGTTTTGATTACAGAGAATCCCACATTAATTAACCTGAGGAGTAGTGTTTAAGGAATGTTAACGATAATTCATACAGTGTACAGCAGCAATACCTCCCACATAATGGTAAGACATTAGCTAAATCAACAAACCATTGCTACTAATGCCTTACTATTATATGGGAGGCATTTCTACCAGTGTGTATTTATAAGTATTGCACAAAATGAATAAAATTATTTCATTAAACAATAATGGTAATATCTGGACCAACAAAAAATTACTGAGAGAGAGAGGGAGGGGAAAAAAAAAAAAAAAAACCCACACATTCATTGCCTTTTTCTTAACAGGATTTGAATTCAAACAAATTATAGGAGATAAATATATCTTGAAGAGGACAAAATTCATGCAATATCAAGCAGTGAACAGTTTCTAGCAAAGAATTTATTTCAAGTACATTATTTAAACTAAAGCCTAACAGTAGAAACTAAAAATCCTTTTCTCTGCACCAAGCTGTGATGACAGAAAAGGAAAACTCCAAAGTAATCAAATGAAGCATAAAAAAAAAAAAAAAAAAAAAAAAAAAGGGAAAAAACAAAACAAAAAACTGTCAAAGCAATTGGTACCAAGAAAAAAAAAAATGCTCAATATTATCAACTATTTAACTGAATCATAACAAAAGCTCAATCTATGCCACAAACATCTTTAAAAATAAAGAAATACAACAAGCATGAAAAAACACATCTGGTTTGGTTGTCAAAAAAAAAAAAAAAAAAAAAAAAAAAAAAAGCACTTAACATTTTTGTGAGTTTACAATGAATCTGCAAATTGCTATTAATTAGGATGTTACATATATTAAACTACATTATTAAATATTCATTGTATCATTTTGGTAAATACTGAAACCAAAATGAGACGTTTAAAAACTAATCAGAAGAATTATTTAAAGAATTTCTTAATTAAAACAAAGACAAAATTGATAAAGAAAATGGATCAATTCAAATCTAAAACAAATATTTCAATTTAATTGAAAGTTTAAGAAATAGCATTTAGGAAGAGAATGCTCACTTTAAAACAATGGGAGGTAAAAAACAAAATCCACTTAAAAATAAACAAACATGCATGCACGTCAGGTTCATTCATTTACAGAGTAGCTAACTTCATGATTAGCTCCCTTGAATCAGTTTTTGGAAGAAGCCTTTATCTTTTTTAAATGTGGACAGAGCCCAACCCACTTCGCTAAATGATTAAAACTTTTTTTTTTTTTTTTTTGAGAGGACTTTTTGATTGAGCTAAAAACTTTTTGGTGCCCACTACTATGTATCTGGCTTGCTTTAAACTCCTAAATACAAACAATAGTCAATAAATTCATTAGCAGTTAACTTGATTGAGATTATGAAGTATGAGATTTGGTTACTGAATTTTTTTTTCTTTCAAGTAAATGCAACTGAAATTCTCAAAGAAGCTGATAAATATCTAACAGCCATGAGACAGAGACCATATCACAAACTCCTGATAATTGCAGCCGAGCCCAAAACACTTACCTTGCTTGCCACAAAAATAACTGGCTGCTGAGTTTTCTTTTTCTGAGAATGATATCGTAGTTGTGCATAGAATAGGACAGGAATCATTTAAGAAAATTCTAGTTACAAGTAAGAGAAAATCTAAATACAGTTCTACATATAATAAAAAAAAAAAAAAGAAAAATAATTGCAGTCATGAAATTTGATAAATATTTTGTGTGCTAAACCAATCTCCATCAGAGGAAAAAAAAAATTAGTTATATTTTCTTGAAACGAAACTGAATTTTTATATATATATATATATATATATATATATATATATATATATATATATAGTAGAGACGAATATTTCTGAGCTGAAAAGAACAATATACTTGGTGAAAATAGCCACCAATAGCATCAAAAGCAGCTTCTCACTATGTTGAAATCTACACAATACAAAATGTGGCTCAAATTGACATTATTCCTTAAATCAAATGTTTTAAAAATTTAAGCGTACATTTTCTGAAAATAGCTCAATGCAGCTTTATACCTTGTGAAAAAAAAAAAAAAAAAAAAAAGTTAAATTGTTCAAAGCCTTTTGCAGAGATATACAACAGATTATTACTTACCATTCCTTCACTATCATCACTGCTTTTTTTGCCATGAGACCGGTTGGCATTCTGAAATTAAGGTATTTGTAGGTGGTTTAGATATACAACAAAAGCAAAGGGAACAAAAAAAATTACAAAAACTATCTACAAGCATTAATCTCCTTTTACTAGAGGAAAAATTACTTTCAGGAAGAATAACAAGAAAAGGAAAAGATTTAAACTGTTTTACTGAACTGTGATTTACAAGTTTTGAGTATTCATATTTCCGTTCAAATTGTCCAAATGTTTAACTAACAGCTTCAATAAGAAAAGACCATACTAATACTGGGTCTATTTTTAACAAAAAAAAATAAATAAATAAATAAATAAATCGTGTTTCAATCAGAAATATGAAAATATAAAAAGTGGATTTACAAAATTTAATGGCTAGTCAGTCTAGACAGGTAAACACTAATCAGATGAGTAACATTACATTGCAGAGGATTAGGAGATATATTAACGCAATCAACTGCAGACTAGGTGGTTGAATGGGGGCAATCAAATGTACAGATAAGATATAAATCCTCAGCCCTTATCCATTTTGAATAAAAACGAGTGGTTTAATTAAATATAATTCTCAAGGAATTCTTGACATCAGAAATTATCAACTTAACTGGTTTATTGAAATAAGCAGTTTTTTGGGTTTTTTTTTTTAAACTGGAGAGAAAAATGGATAATCATTTTTTAAATTTTAATGCAGATGGTATGCGTTAATTCAATCATATATATCACACAAGGTTTTTTATCAATATTTTTGGCACTAACAGATTTTTTATATTATATATATATATATATTTTATATATTATATATATATATATATATATATATATATATATATATATATATATAGGGGGGCACCCTGTAAGTAATGTCTTACAATGTCAGAAGTGGGTGTTGGTGATAGAGGTATAGAGATTATAAATCTCTAATAATCCTTATTAGAAAACAGCTAAACAGCACTCTAGCAAAATGATATCTGACATGAAAGTGCACAGGAAGTAAGTATATTGATATCCTCCTTTCAGAAAGAAATTGTGCACACTGAACTGATGCTTGCTAGAGACAGCAATCTACATTTATGAGTTTAGTATGCAGGTTTTTGTTCATCACTGGCAAAAATGTAATCAATGTGGAGTGTTTTGCTGCCAAAAATGCTATCTATTCAATGATGTTATTGTACTCTTGGTATCTACTGCAGCTTCAAATAAATAGGGGTCATTACTGTAAAAGCATCCATAGTGTATGTATATATATATATATATATAAAAATATCAAACTATTTACTAAGGTTTCACTTACAAAATCTACAACACCTTCATATAAAACCTTAAAGCTATAGAAAATAAAAATGCGTAAGTACTCAAATAAAAGAGGGATTTTATATATGAGAAAGAGAACATTTCAAAGATACTAACCTGAGGACTATTTTGTTGATTATGCTGAGGAGACTGATTTTGCATTGGTGATGGTTGAGATGTATGTGGTGGTGGCGGTGGCTGGGGAGATGGCTGGGACTGGGGTGTTTGTGTTGGTTGTTGTGAAACTGATGTTGGAGGTTGAGGATTAGGAAGGGGAGCTTGAGGAGAGTGGCCAGGAGGAGATGGCCCCGGGGGTTGTGGTGGTTGTTGTGGTGTAGGTTGTTGCTGATGGACAACTTGTGATCCAGACATGACTTGATTAAATACCATCTGATTCGGACCAAACTGCCCAGGCATCTGAAAGAAGGAGCAAAAGTACATTTTTATTAAAAACAATCACCAACAATGTTTCAGTTACAATAAATACTGCTGCTACAGTACATGCATACAAATGTGTCTAGCAAGGTTTACTACTGTCAAATCTTGTAGTCAAGCTACAAACAAAGCTTTCATCAGATAATCAGAGTAACAATTATTCCTCTGGAAACAAATCACTAATCAAGTGTACACTTACACAACCTCATGCCACCAGATGAATTTACTCATTTAGATTAAAATAGGGTCATAAACATCCAGTTTTTTTTTTTTTTTTTGCTTTTTTTAGTTAAGGAATTTTAGGACATCCTTTCTTAGAATTTTTCATTTCACACTTTTTCAAAGTAGTTTATCTATCCTGGGTTTGCAGCTTTGATATACTAAAGACTATCAAGCTGCAATTGATTAAATGTTTTTTGGGTCAAATGCAGTTTTTGGTTTACTTCCAATATTTTAAATTTCAAGTTGTCCAAAACATTTGTGCAGAGCATAGAAAGGAAAACAAAATCAAAATTAGAAAAATGAGAATCCAAAATTTTATATAATAGCGAGACATTAAAAATTATCACTTATTTAAAAAAGAAAATAGCTTCAAATTCTAATTCAGTAAGACAAAAAGTTTAATACTTTGTTCTTATGAAAAGTAACTTCAAATACACATGGCTGTTGAGAAAAAGGGAACAATTTAATGAAGATTACAGTTTCAGTAACAATTATGGGGAAACTACTAATGCCAAATTATTAAAATAAAGCACATTGCAATAGCCACATTTACATGTATATAAATCTAATGCTACTAAAACTAAACAAATTTAGACAAATCATTAAGCAATGAAGTGTGCATTCTCAAATTCAGCCTGCTTTTTGATAAATGAGGTTAACAATAAGCCATAATTTAAGTTTTTTCTGTAACTATGAAATATTTCTAGTCATTCAACTATTCAATATGTTTATACAAGATCATAAATAATGCACTAATTTAAACATGGTAAGGAAACTGGCTAAAGATAGAAGATTAATATGTAAACATGTAAGTAGATATCATAAACCTCAGGAGTTTACACTGCGAAAACAGGCCAAAATAAAATCTTCAAATTCGACTTGTTTATTTCTGAAGTTATTTTGATAAGATTAGTATGTAAACAAAAATGTAATCTTTTCTCTTTAAGAATAAATTCTTTCTCGTGCATGATTAATTTTTTTATTCCATGTGTAAATCATGTAGCTATTTTAACAGTGTGTGCTTCCTTTCCACATTTTCAAAGCCAAGAATTTAAAGAGAAAAGCACACTGGCCAATTTAATGGGATTAAGATAGGAATATATTCGTGAAAGAAAATCCCAAAACCTTTGTTGAAAACTTTAGTGGATGAAATAAGAAATCCAACTCCAAAAAATAAAAATAGTTATCCATATTCCATTCATTTATGTTAGTGGCTGGTAATACATCATTTTTTTCCTAATTCAAGGGATTGAAGACACGCACAACACACACTATGAAACTAGATATGTTTTAGTTTAACTTTGGGCATTGATCCATTGAAATGTAATATATTTTTATTTCCTCCCCTCTTTTTTAATATGATCATTTATTTATTAATTCTAGAGTCCTATTTCGGTGGTTAAAATGAGATGGTTTCATTTTCTTTGAGAGAGAAAAAAAAAAAAAAAAGAAAAGAAAAAAAAAGGTACATTTTGTAGTTCAACTTTTGCAAACAGTTTTTTTGTACATATTCTTTTCTTAACTTTTCTTAATCTGTTACAAAAAATAATGTTAAAATCTTTTTTTCATGTATTAGTGCTTTCCATATTTTTAACCCTGCATTAGACAAATGGGCTGAGTTTTGTTACCCAAAATTTTTAAAGTACTTGTAATTCTTAGTTGGAAAATTGTTTCTTTTGCTCACAACACTACTCTCCTGACTCAGTGAGGGTGTTGTAGCACATGGTGTGCTGCAGTTGTAGCTCAGTTGTCATAGAAAGTAGATGCCAGGAGACTATCCATTTTCAAAAATCCAAAGTGACTAACAAAGGGTTAAGAGAATTTACTTTTTATCTTCTATTCAGTGGATGATGAACTCCACACCCTTAAAGGTAGTTTTCTTTTAAGTGGGGAAGCAGGTGGCACAGCTGTTTGAGGCTTCCTACAGACCCACTGAACTTAAATAAAGTCAATTCAGGTTTCCTATGGTAAAAATTTTCTTTCCCAAGTGAAAATCATCACAAAAATAGCAAAAGTCATTTTGTCACAGCTTATTTTCTCTCAAAATATGGGTTTTCATACTTTTTTAGGGGTAAAATATTGAAAAATGACTGTTTTATCATCACCTAAACGAATATCAAGGAAACTTTTGATCTGGACCCCATGAAACTAGGTATTTTCTGAAAGCAAAAGATATATTCTTTCATTTAAAAGTAAAATTAGCTGGTGTAAATGACTCAAAAATTTTTTCAGTGGGTAAAATGTGAAAAAATAGTGAAAATTTTGCATTTTTTTCTTGTTCTAAACAAATATTTCCCCCATTAATGGGAAATTAACCATTTTTTTTTTTTTTTTTTGAAAATCAGAAAGCCTAGATCATAATCAAACTATTTCAGGCATAAAATTGAGAGTTTTGAAGGAAATCAACATTCCTAGGGGTGGAAAAAAAAATGCGACAAAATCCATTGTTAATTTTCAATTATGACTGCCAAGGGTTAAAAAAAATTGACACCTGGCCACGGAAATCTTTTAGTAAAAGGCAAGAGATTTATCTGCAATTCCTAACCACCAGAAACCAAAAGTTTTTTTTTTTTTTTCCTAAAAATAGTGATAAGGAAAATAAACCTAATTGACTTTTGACGTCTAGGTCAAAGGCCAGCCAGCCAGCCAGCTAGCAATAAACGGACGGCAAACCTTAGAACAAGTTGTAATAAAACCCACCACTCCCAGATAAAAGCAAAGGGTGAATAAAAAAGGGTTCACAATTACTAGGGCTTCATATAACCTATGTTTGAACAATGGCTTGATAAGTTTTGTTTTGTTTTTAACACCCCGTGACCCGGGTGATGACAACAACACTTAGCAGACAACATTGTTTTTTTTTCGCCGCATATCTTTTGTATTTCCCATCGCCGGTCCATTTAGCCTTTCTTTTTATTCAATGATGTTCATGCCAAATGAAAGAGAAAGGAATGAATTTTGAATGATGTTATTTTGAAGTTTAAAATGAATATTTTTCATTAAAAAAGGGGATTTTCTCAGAAAATTGTGCATAATTTCTTAATGCTAACCGCTGAGTGACATTTTCCACAGCCAAATCGAAGATTAATTACCAGTGAATAATTCCATGTGCAAAAAATAGCCGTCTGGATCCTATAAGGTCGCCCTAAAAGGTCCAGAAGTTTACTAATTGATCGAAAACCTGTTGCGCATAATTGTATTTTTCACGGTCAGTTTCCATTATTTCATCTTGATATTATCATTTTCGGACAGCCAAGTCATCAAGGATTCAGGAAAACACTTTGACATAGGTTTTCTTTAAGAACTTTACATTCTATGAGGTGTTTAAAATGTTACTGACGAATGAGATTTTTTGCCGCATATTTCGTTTATGCGCCATGTTGGATTTTCCTATATGACAAAAACAAGGGTTTTAAACAGCTGTGGTGGAAAAAGACCTCAAAATCCTTGCAACATATGAAAAGGTTGCTGATACAGTTAAAAACTGTGTGATGAGGGAAATAAACATTACAGTCATCTAACTTAATGGAATGCCATCTCCACCTCTAAAGGAACAAATGAAGGAAGGAAAGGCACTCAGTGAATCTGTGGATTCAGAGTGCCTTTTCAGTATTTGTGAAGAAGCACTTCAAATGACCTAACTTTTACAATGACCAAGTCATTGATAATTACATCTCCATCCAGTGCTATAACCAAATTTCTAGCCAATCAAGTGCAGAAATTAGTTCTGATGGCCTTTGTTGGATCATATTGAACAAGTGGAGTCAACATTTGTCTGTAGATGGGACTTTAATATAATGCCACTTTCAAGTGATGATAGGATAGAGTATTCCAGAAATATTGGCTGTAGCAGAGACTTATACCAAATTCAAACTGAAAATCATCATTAGAAGAAAAAAGGTAAGAGGGACATTCAAACTGTCAAGAATGTCTTTTTCATCAATATTTTTTTCTTTTTCTTTGTTTCATTTTTTTTTTAGTTTGAAAATAAAAGAAGCTTATAGCTTTAGAATAAACTTTTTTTTTAAGAATTTACTAGGATTCCTTTCATGAAACATTTCTAAAATTTTATAGTTATCCTTTTTTGGCAAGTCAAAAATTGCATAATTTCACACATTTAGATTCGTCTATGACAAGGTATTGATATTACAGAAAAAGGAACTGTAATGATGAAGTCCCCCATCTAAAAACTCCATGTACCTCCAACAAATTTCAAGTTCAGGATACTTTTGATCTGTTTTTGTCCTACCAAATTGCACTTCTGCCTTATACATGGTGTTTGTTTTTTTTATTTCTGTACTAATAGAGAAAAATGGAAAGGCATTAAGTATTGAAATTAAACCTATAAGAGCAGTCAGAATTGCCCTCATTTTTTTTTTTTTATACCCATTTTTGAGAACAATTTTCCCCATGTTTAGTCTGGTCAGACCTAATTATTGATTCCAATAGTATTATCTTTTTATTTCAAGACTACCTATGACATTTTTAATGATTTTTCACTTGTTCAAAGCCTGCATCTTCAGTTATACACTGTTAAAATTGGCTTCTGCACAAATTTTCTGAGTTCTGACCAACTATGAATGGTCATAATTTTGTTAACTTAATGATCAACCAGGATAAATTTGGTACCATTTTTTTTTGTTTTTTCAAGCTTTCTATGTCTATATTAAAAGTTTTTAGATATTTTGAAAATAAAATTTTAGTTTAATCTAAGTCAAAAATTTAAGTATCTGTGAGGGTGTTAACAATATTTTTTGCCATAATATTGATATCAGTTTTTATTTAGACTTTTTTTTTTTAAAATACATGTCCATTAAAAGCAGTACACTGCATTATTTGCATTCCTTCGAGTCCAACATAAAAATAGAAAAAAAGATTAATCTGGTTTGAAAGTTAACTTATTTTTTATACGGAGTCTAAGATTCAGTCAAGAAGAGCTATGCATCCAAATCTTAATCAAATTAAAACTAAAATTGTAAAATTAAAAATCCTGCATTTATTTTATAAAAGCTCAAGCTTAATCTACTATCCATGTCTATGTAGCAAATTATTCTTGTGATGCAATAGAAATACAATTATTAGAAACCTAGAATCAATACCAGATTTTTAATTTAATTTTCATAATTAATACTGTATTTCATAGTGGACATTAATGAGTTAAAGCATCACTTAAATTGCAATTGCCTCTTAAAATAAGTACTTTAATACATGTTATAATTAATTTCATTTATAATTATTTCATTTACACAATAAGCATAAAGGCAGAGGTTCAATTGTTTAATTCTACTTTAGTTTTATATTCAGGAAGTACTGAACTAACAAAATGCAAAATAAAATTTGAGATTATATAAATACAATGCAACTGCAAAAATTAAATTCAACATTTTTTTTTTTTTGATGGCATAGGTAAACTGATCACTAGTAATACATTTTTAAGCATTTTTCTTTATGAATAATGGTATGAAATGAGAAAAACAATTCTAAGAGAACAAGCTTTTGTTATGAATCATTTTGGATATGTTAGTTTTTAAAATCTGAAAAACTATAAAATTGCTTTTTTGTTTTTATTTAAATCTCTATTTAAAAATGCTGTCATCAGAAATACTTTCAATTGAACATGCAGAACATTTTTAATTTTGCATAAATACAATGAAAAAGATCAATATATTTTTTTTTATAACATTTATCTATTTTCTGAGAAATAATTTTTTTTAACAAATTGTCTTTAAAAACCAAAGATACAATTATGTTAGCATTCAGATTCAAAGCCCAAGATAAATGTAAGCATACTAAAATTAGGATTCTTTTACTTGCAATACTTGGAAGTTTTGTTTTTAAATGAGCAAAATGCTTAGAAATGTTTTGCTATTATTTTAGTATAATTGGGAAGTATGAAAATGCAAGTACAACCAAGTTGAAGCAACTTTTAGAGGAATCCAGTTATTTGTTAAAAATATGAAATAATAAATGTTTAATTTTATTTAAATTCTAAATTAATCTCATGATACATACATTTTTAGGAAAATGCACCAAAACTAATCATGTAACTGAGCAGATATATGTGATCAATTATTGATTGACACTGCTATTAATTACCAAATTACTGAATCCTTTTAAGTGATTGTAAAGTGATGTGAAATTTTAAAGGAAGTAGTAATAGGTAATGTACAAGAATACGCAAACTTTTTATATTAGCTGCATATGTATGGCATATTGTATTGATATGTAAAAAATAATGAACTAAATTTTACCTTCCATTGGATAAAATTTAGAAGCAGTTTTGCACAGGAGAGAGAAAGACACCAAGTTTTAAAAAGAAAATGGTTTCAAAAATACTCATGATAAATAAAGTGGATGTAAGCATGGAAGACCAAAGTACTAAAACAAACAAACAAACAAAAAAAAAAAAAATCTTTACAAACAGAAATTTCATAAAAACTACAGAGAATCAGCTACAATTATGGATACAGAAGGATAGTTAAGCCAATTTGGCCCAGAATTCAAATTAATGCTGTTTAAAAGAAATTGCAGTTTATTGCAAAAGGAACATACAATGAAATTTATTGGTAGAAATTTGATCATGTAAATTAAAACCCTATATTCATTACAATTAAAGTTAATATATTAAACCAACAGAAAAAGCCACTTGATACTGCACAATAAAAACAATCTTCCCCCTGGGAATTTTCGAATCAGTCCATTAAAATTTATCAATGCTATTTTTACTTACCTTGATTAAAAAAAAACAAATTAAAAAGGAAAATTATTAACGTGTTTAAAATCATATTCCAGCTAAATATAGCTTGTTCCAACTGGAAGGTAAATTGAAAAAAAATTTTTTTTTAAGTATTTTCAGGATAAAATCCAAACTTCAAAATAAATTTTTAACTTGTAAAAATTCATATCCAAACTAGAAAACCATTAATATGAAAAAGTTTAAAACACATAAAAAAACACAAATTATATAACTTGTTATTTAATACAACAGATACTTTATAAATCTTTTTTGTAAAAATAAGCTCAATAGCAACTAACAAAACTGAAAACACTTTCATCCTTACAATATCAAATTTTGAAAACATTAAATTTTAAGTCTAAATTAACATGATCTATTGTAGTTCCTCTGAGTAGTAACTTTGCTATAAAAAAAAAAAAAAAAAAAGATAGCCAGTATACTTTCATTACCATAATGCATATTTAGCAACTTAAAATTTCCACTGATTTTGAAATCTGTAAATATATTTTACTAAAGTATTTCTAAACCTTGCTTTCCATTTCAGAATTTGCTGAGTCGCTTTCACATCAGTATTATTCCATACATAAAATGTTATATGTTAACAGCAGAAAATAGCACGCAAAAGCATAAGTTAAATGCTTTCAACAAGTCATAGTTGAAGATACCAAGATTTTAAAAAATGAAAATTACTTGTATATCAAGTGTGAACATAAAATTATAAACAGTTTAGAGTAATTCTCATAAAACAATTTTACCTTTTAAATTTATAGAAGCATTCCAAATTTGAATTCATATAACAAATTTTTCTAATAGAAAAACTCTGCAAACAGATTAGTAATTCATAAAACCTGGCATCATTAAATAGAGATTAAGATATTACAATGATCAATTGTTAACCATATAATATTTAGAAGGAAATTTTTCAGTTAACAATAAATCTACCATCACAAAATGGAGGTTAACAGTAGGTATCTCCACTGAATTTTCAATACCTAAGTTTCGAAATTAACTTTTAAAAACGAAAATTCCTGAAAAATTTTATTCTAGTTTTAATTGAAAGCTAAATGATTAAATTTATTGTTTCCAGTAAGCAAAATATTCTGCTGTATTTCAGATAGAAATATTGATTGGGATGTCAAATAATAGCTCAAGTTTATAAAATTCTTAAAAGCAGCCATTTTCTTAATTTTTAAGAAATTTGTAGACAAACAAATTTATTGGGTTTAAAATTCTTTCAAAATTAAATTATAGATTTGTGACACATTATTTGAATAAAATTAGAAAATTTAATGTTAAATTAATCTGATTATAGCATAAAAAACTAATATACAAGCATTTCTTTGATTTATCGAGAAGCTCTTAACAGCTCTTATGGATGACCAGAAATGACATTTACGAAAACTAAGTGAACGTTTTTTTTTTTAGTTTACTACCTTAAAACAAGAAATTAATTGAAGTATGACCCAAACTAAAATAAATAAAAATATAAGGGATGATTTGCAAAAACTGATGAAACAACAGAATCAAAAATGAAATAATTGCAGACGACACTTAAATCATGCAACTTTAAGGATTATGTCACGTGTAGATCCCCATAGGTAGAAATTAGGAATTTTTTTGTCACTAAAATTTATTTTTAAAATATTCGGCTGCAAAAGACTTATGAGCTTCTCAAATTTTGATTCGTAAATTTATTTTTCACTTAATGATATCACCAAGTTGTATTCTTGAAAGCAATGAAGAATTTTAAACAATTTTTGAACTATTGTAATTAAAATTCTAAAAAAAAAAAAAAAACAAAAAAAAAAATATTTCATGTAAAAATTCATTATTCAGCAGAAAAATTTATTTCTTCAGACGATATAGTGTCCATAAGATAACGTATTTACAAAAACAATTAAAAGCTTTTCTAATAATTAGACAGTTTTACTGCACTTTTTATTTTACAATTTAGAGCGGATTTTCAATGAAACAGGTAACTGTTTTACACATACAAAAAAAAAAAAAAAAAAAAAAAAATTTTTACTAATAAAAAAAAATACCCCCCTCCTTAAAAATTTAATTTCTCCAAATTTCATGAAATTATTGAAGTGGGTGGTAACATACGTAAAAAATTTTTTAACCAAGATTTTCTAAAAAAAGGAAAAAAATTTCATTCATTTCTGAATATGTCCTGAAAGTTTCATTAAAATCTGAGAATTATTTGAATTTTGCAAGAATCTCCAAATCAATGTGTGTGTTTCTCCTTGGAAAAAGCGCTAAATAAAACAAACCTTTTTTAATCTAGTTCACAGCAAAAAAAAAAAAAAAAAAAAAAAAAAATACTTTGGTCTTAATGACAAAACTTTTTTTATTGAGTTTGGGACCTTTTTTTAATCATGCCGTTTTTTACTCAACCAAGTGGAGGTACCTAGAAACAGAGTAAAGACATAAACAGGAAAACTTTCTGACATCCAGGCCATTCAGAAGATAAATCAGAATGCTTAATGACAAAACAGAATATTTTAGTGAAAATATTCAGCAAGCTGATAAAAATTTTATGTAGCTAGAGAGAAAACAATTATCTTGCAAACATTAAGTATTACATCCTTGCCAGTCTTGTAGCTGGAATGTTTACTTCGATAATAGAAGAATCAATGTATTAGGTAAAATGAAAACAAAAACAAATAAGGTAAAGCATAAGGAAATGTTAAATATGAGAAATAATAACATTAAATTTTGATAAGTAGCAAATATTGACACTATAACTATTTTAAAAATATCTATAAAATGTTTATAAAAGATAAAAAAGCAGAGAAAAGTTGACGTTTTAGTAAAATCCCTTTTATTATTTCAATACAGATTTTAAAAAAATAAAAAATAAATATGTTACCTGCTGTTGTCCGTAGGGTTGATTCATCTGTCCTGGTCGAACTTGCCCAGCACCCATCATGTATCGCTGAGAATTTGGTGAAAACTGTTGATTATTATATTGTGATGGTTGTTGCGGAAAATTAGGAGGTATTCCTGAGGATCGTCTTTGTTGCGGCATTTCACTCATATTTCCACCTCCCTAATGAAGAAGAAGAAAAAAAAAAAAAAAAAAGTGAAAATTATAAACAAAATGGATTAAGAATAAAATATACTTATTTCTTATCTGAGCATTAACATGTTTAAGACACGTGAATGACAAATGTAAATCACTTACATTCAGAAGTTTTTACATTAACAAAATTCAGCACAATTTTAAGACTTAATCAGTTATAAAATCGATCTTCCTGGAGAGAAATCAATCCATTTGAAAAACAAATGCTACAGTACACAGTTCATATCAATGTATTTTCAGACGGAAAAAAAAAAAAGGAAGGCTTGAGTGATAAATGGCGAAAAACTACACATGAAATGTGTATATTTATATCTTTAACAGCATGCTTTCTAGTAATTTTCACAAAATCATAAAACTAATCTCCACGAGGGAGTCTCAGGTTCTAAAAAGTACTTGAATTTTAAAAACAAAACTAACCTTTTTTTTTTTTAAAAAAAAAAAACAAAAAAAACAAAAAAAAAAAAAAACAAAGATGATCTCAAAATAAGTTTTGTTTTATGCACAATGTTAGAACATTGAAAAAATAAAAATAATGACCTAAAGTAAAGAGGAAATGAAACAAGACTGTAATTACATTTAAAACACTAATGATTAGCATATTTAAAATCCCTAAAATATCAATGTACAATTTTAGCAGAGGCAATGCGGTTTCATTTTGCGGTTACAAAATAATCCTTAAAATTAAGGTAAACTACAAAGACACCGAATGTAAGCAAGGAATTTTAGTTGTAGCTTATCAAGAGTTTTATACACACACGTGCGCGGGGAAGCAGTGAAAGGTTATAATTTGGTCAAACTAAAAGGTTAGTAATGAAACTGCCATCTATACGGGAAAGATCGATAACAGCTACTGGACTCGAAAAATCTACTTTCCTGAAAAATTATTTTAAGAGAATGATTTTATAAATTTCAAATAAAAGTAGTACGGGCTGCTCAATCAACGAATGCCAAATGTTTCCTTGTAAAGAAACGGCTAATATTACCATTAACTACCTTTGAGTAGAGGGTCGGGATGAGAACTTTTTCAGCAACTCCTTGTAAAACATCTTTAAACTGTCATGATAGGAATGGGCGTGCGTTCTATAAATATTTGAAAATTGCCAAAGGCGATCAAAGGAGAAATCAGAAAAATATGCCAATTAATCTAAAATATGTTTAAGCCTTCAAAATATTATCAGTAAATACTGGGCAGTTCCATACATTTTAAATAAATTATGCATATTCCGAAGTATCTTTGTGGGAAGAGGTAGAATTTGTTAATATTTACAAATTACATGATAAAGTTACCTGCTATTTTTTCCATCATTGTTGGTCAATAATGATTTTAATAATTTATAACAATTATTGCGAACATGGCTCCGTTTTACAAAAATATATTAATATCTACTAATTTACAAGGGAAATAACTTATTACTAGAGACGATAGTAAATGTACAATTGAAAATTGTACATAGCTTACAAAAATTAACATGTGCTCGCCACTTTCCTATCAAAATAAACAAAAGAACAATAAACCGGACATATCAACAATGAAAACTATACAAGCTTATACCCAATAAATAAAACTTGAAGTATTACAGTATTAAAAAAAAAAAAAAAAAAAAAAAAGAAAGGAATTTTTATATTTTATACTTTATGTATGAAAGAAAAAAAAAATTAAAAAAATGTGGCATAAATTTACTTTGTAATTGATGCATTTACAAAAATTAAAAAAAAAAAAAAAAAAAAAATACTAAAAGTAATTCTCCATTTACTGAATAGAATATGAATAAAATTAATTCCAGAGGGAGACAACCCATATTTAGACGTCGATTTAGTCAAGTTTACAAAGTTGAAGGATTTAAAATTGTATTTTAAGATCATTTGAGATTAAATTTTCATACAATGGCCATTTACTTTACTATTTAAAATTCAACATAAAATAAATATCCCTTATATGGCTATTTGAAAAATCAATACAAAAATGGAAATATTCATGGCATAACATTTTTTCATTAAAAACAGAAAATTGTACAAACCGTTAAAAAAAAAAAAAAAAAAAAAAAAAAAAAAACATCTAGTCTATAAAAATGATTGAAGAATAAAAACGAATCTTAAATGTACCTAACTTTGACAGTACATGTATTGAAATTTCACATCTCAAATATTGATTTAGACATTGAATAACAGGATTCTACATTTTGATAGACGAACATTATTTCTCTTAATTTAACTAAAACACAAGAATCTCGAAATCTTAAGTTCACAATACATATCTATGTGGAGGAAAACTCATGGTTCAAATTCGTATAATGTAAAGGACATTTTGCTTTATGAAGATCAAAAATATGTCTGACGAGATGCATTTTTCGAAATATGTAAATTTTAAAACCAATTAAAGCGCGATATATTACAAAACAGCATTCGCTAATTTCAGAATGAAAAATCTGCAAGTACTACGATGGCGACGACAGAAGCTTTTTAGCCTTTGAATATTTATGCGATTACTCTTTAAAATGAATCAGTTTTAAACTAATGTATAGAACGTGGATTTTATTTATTTCTGAAAAAAAAAGGGGGGGGATTCAAATTATAAAATTGATAGAAATAATAAAATCGAAAGCGAAATGGGTCATAGATTGGGAGGAAGGAAGTAAAAGAGCTGCTTTGAAATGGACGATAAATATGAAAGGAGACAAAGCGCTTATTTCAACAAACGTTTATTATGAAAGAAAGTTTGAACAAAAATGCTATTAAAAGATTTAAAATTTATACACAAGTCTAAAACCAAGCTAAAGTATATAGGCGCTGATCAGTAACTGAAATATTTGGATTCTTCTTAGCCATATTAAAATAAAGATAGTCGTTCTCGAATAGAACAGTAATGGAAGAAAGGAGGGAAATTACTGCTGCTCTTTGCCATCTGATATTATTTAACTAACGGACAATAAGATTCTGAGGCGAAAGTTTGATATAAGAGACCTGATAGAATATATACACAAATCTGCCAGATTTTAGTTATGAAATCTGAAATAATTATGTAAATATAAAATAAATATAAATACTCCTATACAGTGGAGCTGTGCCCCGCAACTCGTCTGCCATTAGATATCACCCATCATGGCCGGATTCAGCTATTTAAGCAAGAGCTCAGCTTGTTTGAAAGAGAGAAAAAAGAGTAATATACTTTTGAAGAAAGTATTTCACACAAGTTAAATGTTTTATTAATTGGCTTTCTTAAATTAATTTTAATGCCAAGAAATGTTGTTCGTGAAAAGGTTCTATTAATCGATCTTTGTGCTAAATGTAAAAGTAATAGTAGTACTAAGTATAAACTGAACGACTGAGAAGGGAGACCAAGCTAGAAAAGACGCTCACAACAGTTTATATTTGTATATTTATATAGACGCAAATATATATATATATATAAGCATACACGTGCGATATTATCTACTATGGTAGTTATAGTATTAATAAATAAATAAATAAAAAGCTACAAGATTATTCTTATGATCTGGTCAACGATTTAGTGAAAGAGGGCGTTATCATGGAAGAGGGAATCAGTTTCTAAAATGGAAAAGGAGACAATAAGTTCAGACCAGATGGGTAATGGAACGCGTTGTTTTAATAGTGAAAACGTAGAGAAATAATGTTACATTACTATATTATCATCATTATTATACTAATAATAATAGTTGGGTTTTGATGGTAATTATCCGTTAAGAAACCCGTTCATCGAAATAATGAGATAAAAGTAGTAGCCCCCTTCTCTTTCTGGTCAGCAAACAATGAAGTAGTAAGAAGCACTGTGCCGTCATCACAAAACGTTTAGACACCGATCGTTGTCGCTGTTGAAAAATTGTATTTTATATTTTTTTTCTACTGAAAGATATTTCAGACTGGAAAAAATTTCAATTTTTTAAATAAAATTTCGAGATTTCAGTAAGCTAATATTAACAAAAATAAAGTTGGTATGTCGATGAGGACAGTAGTAAATGAAATACTTGAATTCATTCTTTGCATTTAAAATGGAAAGGAAAGCTTTATTCGGATAAACGAATAAAATACATTAAATGTTCATATCATACAATTGATTTTTAGTTTCATTTCTCTTTACAAACATGACAAAATACAATGTATTTTTTTAAAGCAAACATACAAAAATGTTAAAAAAAAAAACAAAAAAAAAAACAAACAAAACAAAAAGGAAAAAAAGAAAATAGATAATGTTTTTAAATTTAGCCTTTCCTTTTCACTTTTTCAAAATATCTCTGTCAGCTTTATTTTAGTAAAGTGTTGGTGACTTGAGGATAGTATGGAAACTGTAAAGTGTGAACAATAAAATGTTATCATCCGTGGCAGTTGGTCTGATTGGCACACATTGGCCCTCCTGACATATGAATGAATAGGTGAAGGTGAGAAAAAAAGCACATGGCTAATCAACATAAGGAAGAAAGCAAGTAAACAATAAGTGAAAATTCTAACTTGGATAAGTAGTAAATTATGAATAATCAAAAAGTAAAACGGTATCGAAACATCAGTAGAGCTTTTACATCCTTTCATAGTGAAACATCTCCAGCAATAACATTCGAATATGGTACAAAAAAATTGAAATTAACACGCAAAATTAATAAAATAATTTATATATGTAAACTGTACATTAAGGAAGAAGAAAGTTATTCCATTCATCATTTTAGCACAGTATGATCAAGTTTATTATAATCATTCAGCAAAGAGAAGAGACTGGACAACTAAAGCATACACCGAAATGACGTATAATAATGCAATCTTCGTAGCTTGATAGATATTTATATTGAAACATCCAATTTTTCTGAGAATACATACCATTAATTTAAAATTTACAAAATCCAAGCTGAGTATTAAATTATTATAATGCTGAACACTGACCAGAAGTGTTTATTCAAAATCAGATTCAAAATGTTGCATTCATAATGATGGTGAGCTTCCATTATAGCACTTCGGTTCGCACATAATGTAAAGTGTTTATTACCAAATATTTTAGATGAATTACTAATGACAAGAGAAAGGAACGAAATATACTAAACAAATTTTTTTCCATAATATTAGTAATTGACAATAGATACAAACTCGAAACAAAAATGAAAAATAAGCAAGAAATAAAAAACAGATCTTCAAATAAATGATTTTTCTTTAAAAACAAAAACCGATGCTTTCACTTTACAGATGTCACTGTTAACTCCTCAAAATAGAACATAAATGGTAAATTAAAAAAATAAATACATATATAATAGTGATAATATCAATGTAAATGAATTAATTATGGTTTAAGAGAAAATACATTTTTTTGTTTAATCTCAAATGCAAAAACAAAAGTAAACATTAAAAGTGTAGCTAGTTATGGCGTAGGCAATGGTATGTAAACTGAACATTCATTTGTAGACAAGATCTTAAAATCTGAAGAACTGGGTTTATTTTGTGACGGTTTTCAATCTTAATATATCAAAACCCAACAAGTGGTAGGTAAATTAATAATTTAATATATAATTTACCTAAACACACACATATATATATATATATATATATATATATATATATATATATATATATAAGACAAGTACAAGTTATAATTAAAAGAAGAAAAATATAAACTTTAATAGAGAAATAACCGGATAGAGAGGATTGATACCTGATTTCGGAAAGCCTGGCACCCGGATATGTTGGTCCCCTGAGCTTGAGGAAAAGCATTCATTCCGCCGGCTCTTTGATGAGGACCCCAAGCCTGTTGCATAGGGTAACCAGCCATATCAGTGGGTACTTTTTGAGAACCCCCATAATCTGAAAAACTATTCGGATATCGCTGGGCTGAATTGGGAGATTGTAAAAGCTGATTGAGTGTTGGTGTTGGTCCGCTTTGTTGAGAAATACTCTGGCCCGACATAAGTCTTGTTTGGGCAGGATTGTACGAAGGTGGCATCATTCCCATACCAGGTGCCCCTATTCCTTGTCGCATTGGGTTCATTCCAGGCTTGGGACCACCAGAAAATCCAGTTCTACTGTGAGGTGGTAAATACTGTCCATGGTACTGTGAGGTTTGGTTAGAGAACTCCGAACTTCCTGGCATAGGTAGACCGCCATGTTGCTCTCCCATGCCGTAACTTCCCCTACCGTACATACCGAATCCAGGCATTTGCGGAGGGTGAATATTCTCATTCATTCTCCCATAATTATCCGTACTCACTCCTCCATCTCCAGAAGTTTGAGGATAATTGTTGGAATCGGAATTTACGTGAGAACTATCCAATGAAGGAGGATAATCATTTTGCTCTGGGTTCATGTTTTGCTGTCCTCCATCTTGGAAAGAGTCCATTGTGTTCGTATCTGAGACCTGACTAGGCGATCGTAGCTTCGCAGTGGTCACCGCTCGGTCTAGTCCATCTTCAGAGTTGATATTTTCCATCTCAGACCAGTAAATCCAGTCTCAAGTACTTCCAAGCGACTTAGATTCGAAGAATTTTGTCTCTCTCTCGGCCACAATGACAGGTAGCCCAGGCATAATGGAGCACACACACACCCTGGTAAGAAAAATCACTAGAACGACCTCTAGCCGACATCCAACAATTATCCAAAAAACGATGATTATTGTTTAAACCACTCCGATGGGTTGTCTTTTCTTCTTTTTTTTTTTTTTTAAAAAAAAAAAAGAAAAAAAAAAAGAAAAAAATTGACACACGTGTTTTTGTGATGGGCTTAAAGAATTTGGGGGAGAAGGGAAAAAAACTTAGTCGTCGAACAGCATGGTCTTATACACACAGCTATTATATGGCATACTTCACTAAGCGGGAATCTAACAGCAAACTAAATTCATACGCAATAAGCTTCTCTCTCTTTTTTTTTTTCCTCCTTCAAATATCCAAGTCCTCGATAATATATTGTTTTAAATCAGCATAAGGATATTTTAAATCTCATTGCTATGCCAAGGGGCATGACTTGCCCAAAATTCATGCTCGTCGTCGCTAGCTACAATAAATTCGGGAATTCTTTTTTTTTTTTGTCGTAGCAATCGTGTTCCCTGAGCGCAAGAACATAAATTCCGGGTTGTGACGCGTCTAAGGCATTCTTTTCAAAATCTGCCGTTTCAATTAGCTGGTACTATTTCCTCCCTCCACAAAACGATAGTTAACTTGATCAACAAGATTCCAAGCAATTTTAAACCAAGCAAGTACATCCTAAACGAATGAGGCGAATTTTCCACATTTCTGTGAATTTTTACTCTTTGTAAAATGTCTACGGAAAATGCATCCGACGAAGCTGGTGCTAAAATCGATTGTCGACGTTACGGAGGAGGGAAACGTACCAGCCCATATTTGCCGAAGGGTTTTCGCACTGACGTCAGCACTGGGCCAAGTCTGATATTATTGAGCACGCAATTATGTTTATTCACCTTTTTTTTTCCCCCTTTTTCGTTCGAGGGACCAGTCCGACATAAATGATCGTGACTAGTTTGGCTTTTGCAAAAAAAAAAAACAATTCGATGCGATTTAAGAAATTAGGATTATTTCAAGAGAACAGTTGATTTTTAACAAAGATGGGGGTGTGATGATAAAAGCTTGAGAGAGGGAGGAAGTGAAAGAGTAAAGATTTATTGAAAGTGGGGGATATATTTAGCGAGAGAGAAGATAGCATATGAAAGTTCAGAGAGAGTGAAAAATTGAGTCCGTACGTTTAGGGAGGAATAAATGAAGGATCGAGAGCATGTATCTCATTTTTAACAAATAGAGGGAGGGAAAAAGAGTACATTTTTATATAGGCAGAATAAGTAAGAAAGGAGAGATTGTGCGTGCATTTTTTATGTAGAAGAAAGAGGAAGTTGTTGGTTAAGAAGATGTGTAGGTTAATTGAGGAGAGTCAATAAAAAGAGCGTTTATGTGTATGAGCTTATACAGAGGGAGAAAGAAAAAGAAAATAAGGGTATCGTTTTATACAGAGAGGGGAGAGAGAGAGATAGTGATGTTGTCGGCTGTTCTGTTTAATGCGTTGTCCGCCCGCTGCTTTGCCTGTCGTAGTTAGTCAAGATTGACAGAGAAAAAAAAGTAGCAGCAGTCGACACGACACCAGTCCTTTCTCTAACCAAACAGGTTTCTAGTACTGCTGCCAGAGTTCAACGGGAGACAACTAGAAATATATTGATATAAATAATGAGAATAACAACAATTTTCGTTCCCTTAAAAATCACTTTTACAATTCAAATATCCATCTAAAAAAGAAATCATTCCATACGATAAAAATAGGAGGGGTCAGAGATTATCTCTGTTTAAAAAAGAAAAGACAAAGCTTTTGTGAAGAAATCTAATGTCTCGCTCAAGTTTTTATTTAACAAGTTAACTGTTTTAATATCAAATCAATCAATTCGAAATAAATTGAATTGCTTTACTTCAAAAGATTATTTTGTAAACAAATTACATGGAAAATATGGGGTAAACTTCTTTTTAGAATAAATGACATTTTATACATTTTTACTTTTACACTTCCATTTCTATATTTGCTAATTAACTGCATACTAATATCGAAATTACATGATATAACTTTTTAAACTTAGCGGTTCTTAAATCTAGAAAATTTAGAAATATGAAGAAATCCCTTGGAATGCTTGGTTTCTATTAAATGTCTCTGAAATATTAAGCTAAAGTTCTCTCAAAATTAGGATCTATCCATTCTAAACAATATTATTAATAGATTAATAATAATAACTAATAATAGCATTTTTACTTGGTTATTAAAATTTGTCTACTTGATAATTTGAAATTGCATTTCACTTGATATATCTTCTTAACTTTAACTATACTTCAAAAGAAAACAAGCAATGCTGTTTTATTTCTCTGGTTAATAGTTAATATAATAATAGTTAATAAATTACAAACTAAAAATTTCTAAAAAAATTATTGTAAGAAACTTTCGGCAGTATGCTCGACTTGACTAAGGGAAATTAAATACAAAAAAATAATATTCACTATGTGTCCATCCTTAATAAAAATTGTCTTATTATTTGAAGATTTAAAAATTAAATTCATATTCATAAATTCATTGCAATTACGTTGATTTATTAGGAATATGATGGGCAAGAGGAAAAAACTATTCTTAATATTTTTTTTAATGTGATAATATTTCCATATAACTATGTCAGCACATGTAAGAGTTACTATCTTTGAAAAAGCAATAGAAAATACATTACAATTAAAATTTTTCACACATTATTACCTTTATTTTTAAAGATCTTGATTCTCAATTTATAGGATCTTTTTAAATGATTGCAAAATTAATATAAGAATATTATATTCAGAATATAAAAAATATTGATTCATGAATTTTATAAAATCATGAAAATAGTTTGGATGGAAATAAAATAAGGCTATTTATTTATATTTTTGTCATAATAACTATCTTATTATGTAAAAATAGACTTCATTTTCTGAAAAGAAAGAAATATATAATAAGATTTATAATGGTAGCTAAAAAATATCTCTGAAATGATTATTAAACTATAACAAATTTTGTATGTAAAACCTTGTCCTTAAGTATTTAAAATAATTTTTTTAAAAGAAAGGATGGAAAAGTTTGAGATAATAAATCATAGAATGCAATGTGTTTTACATGGAGTGGATTCATTTTAAAGATATATAATGAAAGAAAGGAACAAAACTGGTTAACAAACAAGGAATACAATGATGTCACGTTTAAATTAGCAAATAATTCAGTTTTTCTTATAATTGAGCAAAATATGGCACATTTGATATATTTAATTATAAGCAGTGATGTATTAAAATATAATTATGTTCATTAATTACTTTTGTTAAGAGATTTAAGAATCATTTTCTCTGATACATTACTTTCTTATTCACTATAATCATTCACTATTTTCTTTAGGTGTATTTTTAGTTATACAAATAATATTTTTTAAAGATTACTTTGGGCAACATGATCATTATCATCAGTATTTTTTTATTGTCCCCAATAATAAAGTAAACATTTCTTTAGATAATGTCTACATTTTATTCAAACTAATAGTTTTTACAGATGATCAAATGACCAAGTCTTCTCAGTGTTCTAGAACTATTCACAATATTTTTTTATCATATTCAATCGTGGTTTCAATGCTTTCTGGTTTTCTTGAAATTTCTATTTATTTCTATATGAAAAAGATTTCAGAATTCCCATTGTTACTTGTAAATTCTTCCTATTGGAATTTCAGAATCCATTAGTACTGAATCAGTTGATGATTGATCTTTTATTTACCTTTTATTTGTTTTATTGATACTTCACCTAACTTCTTCATATCATCATTATTGTTACTATCATTGTGACAGATTTATAACAAAATAACAATTAGAGTGCTTATTTATTTTTTTAAATTTTCTATCCCAAACATATTTATTGCACTAATTTCAATATCATCTGATTTCCAATTACAATAATCTGTGATTTCATTGTTTTTCTTTTCTTTTTTTTTATTAGGAGGCCAATTTTGACACTGATTTCAATATCATTTCATTTCCAGTTACAAAAGTCTGTATTTGATTTTTTTTCTAATTAGTTATGGCACTGATCTCGGTTTCATTATTTTTCAAATGTTTTTTTATTTAACCTTTTTTAAAGTTTCCATTATTGTTGACAGTGATGGAAATATGATTTCATTTCAAGTTACAAAAGTCTATATTGTATTTATTTCTTTTTCAATATTTTAAAATTTGGATTTTGCATTTATAACTAGTTTTCTCAAAATGAAACTACAAA